TATGTGTTGTGAATAGAAGTTGCGTTTTCATTCTCGGACATTCAATTGAAATGGTTTTTGTCGTTTAGCAGAAGAAAAAAGCGGTTGCATCGTTTCACAAATGGTTTTGTCATCAAATAAATGAAAGCAAATAATTTATAAACGATTGTTATCAAGAGAACTTCCACGGTGGTTTGTTATCGGGTAAAGTGCTTGTTTTTCCTATGTATTCCTACATTTTCCTTGTGGCGCTCGACAAAGAGAACCATTTTGAAGTGGTTCTAAAACGACACCAATTCAACAACAAACCGCGCCGGTGTGCACAACCATCCTTGATAAGCTTTTGAAAATAACAAATTACAAAACATTTGTTTATCAATGCTACAGAATGATTATTTTCATGGATATAATCCAGATCCGTTGACATTTTGTCGAAACAAACAGGTGAACAATGAATCCATTCGTCGTATGATTGTTTTTAAACAATTGTGCACCGCATCGCTTGAGCACACTCGCTTCGGTTGGTTGAACCAATTGCTGGAGCTTCAAAAAAAAACAACCTGGCGATTATCAACCGGAAAACATCATCTGAAGAAGTTTCCTATTTATATTTCAATTTATTTTTGGCTTTTTTGGCGTTGACATTTTCAGCATCTGTTGACATTTTTGCATGACGCGACAGAGTTACATAAAAAGATTTTTCTTGAGAACTTGTTTCAAAGACATTAACTTTTTCACTCAAGCGATTGCCGTTTGGTTCGGGTGTTTATGATATTTTTGCTCACATTTTGCTCGTGCATCATTATTCATGAATGTGGATGATAATGAGGCGGAACGCCAAGATTTTAAAACTTGAATCCACCAATAAAATTATGATATTTTTTGTTTTGACAGAGTTATCATTGAACATATATATGATATCACACTAGAATATCTCGGGGTGTTATATCATACATACGTCGATTATTATATGATAATCTTCTTCTTATGATTATCAAGCGCCATGGACACGCACGAACGGACAATGTTCTAATGACGTTCTAATGACAACTGAACAATCGACGATTACCGTACTATCATCATGGTTCATCGAATATTTTACATATATTTAATGAGCCGGAGATGAAAAAATTCATTAACAAACTTTGCCGATACGGATATGGGTTGATGTGTCGAGCAGCAAAAAAAAAAAAAAAAAAACATTAACATTGATTTTTCGAATCGAAATATCATTGTTTATGTTCATCCATGACGTTGTTCAGTAATCAATATTTATCAATGACGTAAATTCTAGCGTAAATGGATGGCATTCGATACACAGCTACAATATATCTATCAATACTACATCGAATGCATCGATATCGTGCTCCTGAACTGAAATTGACTTTCCATTTCGAGTGAAATTGTCATGTCTTTTTCGCATTGATTCCAGTTATACAATTCTACGAAATTTTTATGTTTAGTGAAATACTAGATAGTGTACAGTGAAAGGCGATAAAGTCTATAGTCATGAAGCGTCGATTTTTATAGCGAGCAAGTTGTTGTTTTTTGTGTGAGTTTGAGTGGTCAGTACAAAAAAAAAGTCCCAATCGTGTCTGGGTAAATAAACTCATTTTGTTTTGCTCGGCCTAATCAAGCCGATTGAATGATGCAAAACTATGATTTCAACAGTTAGAGTACATATAATTTTTTGCGAGCATGTTAAATTCGCAAGCATGTCACATTCGTGGCTAGGTAAATCACATGAAAGCAAAACTGATTCGATGCAAAATAGGTCCAAGTCATTGTGTGTTTGCGTGTGACAACAGATCTCGTTTTCACTTGAAACAAATTGCATTGATTGGATTGCGGTCAGTGGTGGTGTGCTACGGCAGCTGCTGCAGTAATAGCAGTAGCATAATGTGACTTAATTTAAATACGTAACAAATCGCGATCTCACAAATCAAATAATGTCGATTTGTTGAATTCCGGCACAGCAACGATACAACCATTTTCTTTTCTCCTCAATTCGTTGAAGAGAGACATGCGAAAAACATACGATGGTCTTGTTTTTTGCTTTACACAACTCTCTTATTAATTGTTTTTGGTGCAATTGAAGTTGCTTGATCCGAACATGATTTGTTACAGCAATCACATACGATGGCGTGTACGGTGCTCAAGTGTCACCTATCATTGCCTATGCCATGACAACCAAACGTGTACATATGCAACATTGAACATTTAATTGGCCATTCGCTACATTGACGAAATCGGTCATAACTGCGTTTCCATTAGAAATTTCCGCAAAAAATCCACCGATCACTCTGAAACAAATTTTAAGACAAGAAAAACACATTTAAATATTGAAACCTTTGATTTTGGCTTCTTTTTTCGTCTGTGCTAAGAATATGCAAACAACAACACTGCGACTACGTGATCGAAACCCCAAAACTGACTTAGTAACACAGTTCATATTTCATTTTTATGATGTTGTTGAGACTTATCCTACTTCAAATTTCCGACGAAAAAAAATTGGACTGAAATCAAGACCAGTCGAAAAACAAGTTGTTTTGCTGCATTTTTACATCTTCCCTTTTCTTCCGATTTTTCAATGCTTGATTTCGTGTTATTTCATATTTTTGCAATTTTGAAGTTCAATTTATAACCAGTGTATATGTGAGATCATCAGAGAGATCGTCGGCGAATCATCTCGTTTTCAATGTTTCAAGTGCATATTTGTATATTATATGATTGTTAATGTGCGCGATCTTTTGTCATTCAAAAAGGTTAAAGTCCGAATAGAATTAATTTCAATTTGATGCAGGCGATCGCATTCAAGCGAACAGCCCGTATCACTGTGATTAATAAATCATAAAAGCCATTCGAGATGAGGTTTTTTATTGAAAGATTTAAGTTCTGATAAGTTATGAAATATTTTAGCACTGCAAATGATACTATTCATGTATTTGAATAACGTATTATATATATGATAAAAAAAAACTTGAATGAATTCCATTTAGTTCTTATTTCAATCCACTTCAATCGACATCAATGTTCTATAGTAAATGATCGTGACAAGCACTTAAAAACAGTGAAAAAGCGAGTTTCAACTCAATTTTTAGTGTAATGTAAATAAATACGCCCCATTGTAGTAGAAACTACTATGATTGAGCAACGATATTCTTGCGTCGAGTTCAAAATGCGACGTAAAATTCCGTAATAGTATGCAGAAGTCGATGGCTATACACGACGATTTGGTCGATTTAGTTGTCAGGCAATACAATGCGATCAACGCGAGTTGATATCGTTCACTCTTATCCGGCTCTGTTTACTTAACTTGACTTCGTATTGAATATGTTATATAAGTTGCGTGTTTTCAAATGATTCCCGAATGCAAACACTCATGTGCATATAATTTCTGTGTTTCGCAGACGGAAAATAACGAATAACGCAAAAAAAAAAACGATGAACAAAACAAATGCAAAATTGATAAACATTTCAATTGCACATTTGTTGTGTTTGCATTCAGACTGGCATTGTTTGAGCCGTGTGATTTGAGGGAGAGAGAGCGAGAAGAAGATTGGTGAAATGATTCAAAGCATCAATTGTTCTGATAAATAAAATGATGACGCAGAGTCATTTATAGACATGATTGCCATTTGCCGATATGAAAACCGATGATTAAGCGAATGTTCGACTTTTACTCGGGGCGTTGTTGTTGACTCAAAGGCGTTTGCACTAATTATACGGCTGAGAATAAGCTCGACATCGCTCAGCACGTTGCACATAGAGAAAACAACTCATTTCCATATAGAAGAGAAATATATACGTTTTATGAGTTAGCCAATTACTCTTGCCACAGCACATCGATGGAAAATCTATAAGTTGCTGTTGATTTTTGTCTTTCATTTTGATCTATTCATCGTGTTCCTTGTGAAATATTGGTTCGTGCGTTCTTGTCTCTTTTCGATCTGAAATATGACACGAATCGATTGAGCCATCGCGAAATTGTCGATGCGAGTGAACAAGAGAGCAAGAGACAGAGAGAGAGACAGAGAGAGAGAGAGAATGATGAAGAAAAACGCTACATAATGTCCAATCAAGCATATCGATCTGCACAAGAGTTATGATGACAAACACTTTTGTTTAGCCCGCGAGAACGGGCAATTTGAGTACAATGTTATTACCAAGTCATATTTCTCGGCAAACAAAGCATTAACTTGTCATCAAATCAACGTTGATACGTTTTTAATTTCATATTTGTTTCTTTTATCTCGTTTTATTCGCAGCTTGGAAACAAAACCCACCAAATGAAGCAGATGTGAGCCGAGAGTGAGGAATAGAAAAAAAATCACCGTGAAAAACGTTCTAATGACCAGAGAGTGACTTTTTGAAAAGTGGATTTGTATTAGCACCTTCAGCAATTGGTACTCATTCGTCATTGTTTTTTTTGTGTGTGTTTGAGCATCGAAAATGCAATATTCATCCGATGAGATAAGTGTAGATAGCGACCACTTGAACCAGGATGGTACGCGTAGCCTCAAATATTTGCCACATTGGCCGGCTGTAAACATTGAGTTTCAAGATTTGGTGTACACCGTTCCGGACATTAGCGGTAAGTATTGGACGAAGAATTCACTTTGATTGTTTTAAATCGACTCCATGTGAAGCCAAAAATACAATGTAATATGTTCTCATTAATATGTATGGGCGGAGAAGTGAATTAAATTGATTGAATCTAACTGGCGCTGACATTGAAAATCCACTGAAACAAATGATTAAATCAATTAGTTTAAATCGCAGACCGAGAATAGCAAAATCGATTTGCGATGCAAAATGAAAGCGAATTAATTGTGTGATTCATTGACGTCAATAAATCGGAAACACATTCTTTATGCGCTATAAACCTTTGAAACGAGAGACGCTACACAATACAATGTTTCATTCTAATTTATGATCGTTTTTCTCCATTAATGATTTCAGAATTTACAATGTCTAAACAAGATATTGTCGATATGAATGGGGAAAAAAGCCAACAACAAAACAAGTAATACGGTAAACATGTGCTCCTTCAACCGCTTTTGATTCGAATCGATATAAAACCAATAAAAATCTATCGAAAAGCGGTTTGACTACATGCATTGAATATTCGATGTCGCGAGTGCGGCTGTTGCTCAGCTGCGCCGCCGTCGTCTAACTCACCTTGACTGTGTGCGTGTGTGTGTATCTTGAATTGTATGGTAAACGTTTTTCAAGTTGCAAGTGCCGATCGTCGACTTAACTGGAAAACACAAGAGTCGTCAATTGAAAAACAAATAAATAGACAATTTTTCAGCAACGTAACTGCCACATGACAATCGACAGACGATTCAATTGTAGACGTAGAATAAGCATATCGTGCACACACACATCGAGTGATATGTGTCAATGACATGCATCGATGCAGTCGAAGCTCAAGTTCGTTCGAAAACAGCTGCAAAGTTCAATATTTATCGACTGTTTATTGATTACCGTGTTGGAAACACTTTTCATTTGTTGTTGTCCCACGAATCATACCATCGCTGAACAAAGTGCAGAGTCTACAGAAAACAATCTCGAAACATGGAATGCGTCAAGAGTGCGTTGGGCAAGTGTCAAAGTACTTGAAACGGGATTTAATTAAAGACGATCTCCCGAATCTTTCAAATAAATAAATTTGTTGTTTTTGAACTATAGTCGTTCGTGCTGCAAATTAACTGAGGATTTGTGGATGCTCGTTTGTTTTTGGGTGCTCATTTTGCTTACAAACTAGTTTACTGCACTAAAATTGGATCAGTTTGCGGATTCAAAGTACTGAGATTGCATGTGCATGTGCTTGTGCACTGAGTATGACGCATGATTTCATGCACGAATGTGTGAGAGCCATTGTTTGAATCGGATGTGTGAAAATGTACAAACGTTCTTTGGGAGTGTGAATGAGCACACTCGTTCATTTTCGTCATTCGACAATCATATCGATTTTAAAGGCTAGACAAAATATGTTTGCGACACAACGTTTATTCCCGATGATTCGAACATTTCATTCAACGTTTCAATTCTGGGCAAACAATCGAACATTATGCGATCGGTCGATGGATAGTTGCGTGCTTTGGCGAGAGTGTGCCGGAAAAGAGAATTTATTTTGAAAAGTACGCATATCGTTCACCTCAACCAAATGACATGCTCATTTGTATTGCTTTGTTTGGCGTGGAAGAGGAAATCACTACTTTGGATAATTTCAGAATAACGACACTCGCTGATAAAATTTATCAGCTCATGTCATAAGCCTCATGAAGTCATAAGCAAACAAAACAGTTCCATATTTTTGCGATAGTTTGCATTGTGTATGGGCAAAACCGTATCATTACCACAACATTATGCTATTGTATTAAATTCGAGTAAAGTTCAACTTCAATGTGATATTACCCACCAATACCACGTTCAATCATGGTGATGATCGCAAAAAGGCAAATTATATCGAAATTATTACGGAAAAAACAATCAAATTATCAAATCTAATTACGCTAAATTCCAATGCAATCGTATCACGGTAACGCACGCAACCGAATGAATAGACCCGAATTAGTTGATTGTGGTGTGACTCAAGTTCGACACGTCACGAAAAAAAAAAATAACAAAACAAATAGAATCAACGAAATTCTAATTAAAATAATTTAAAAGAACAACGTAAGCACCATAAAGTTCTATTTTTTTTCTTCTCTTATTCGCATTCGACATTGTGCCAAATACACGTACTAGTTCATTTGAATGACAGTAGTTGAATTCATTTGTTTGTTTCTCTCTTTCGCTCCAGCACTCTTTCTCTGGACGTTGCATACGTCTTTCGCTGCTATTAATTTCATTTTTTAATCGTCGTGTTTTCATGTTTTGGCTATCTGTTGTTGCTGTTTCGGGATTTTCTATCGAAAAATAACAAGAGCATTGCAGCAAGGAGATAAAGAAATGACGACAAATGACAATGCTAAACAACGAGGAAACTGACGATTTGGCAAAGATAAATCATTTTTTTCGTATTATCTCATGTTTTGAAAGTCAAATCTGTTTCTCTCTTTGACTCTCTTCCTTTGTTTTGTATTCTTTTCATTCAAATTCTGTTCTGCGAACAGTGTAAAAGGTTCACTTGAACGAAGAAAAACAACAATAAATTGCTGCATCAAATCATTTATGCAATTAACTTTGCACGTCTGGAGCTAATTGCAAAACTGTAATTTTACGCGTCTTTTGTTATCCTGCGTCGTCGTCGTCGTAGTCTTCATTTCTTTTTTAGTGACTCATATTAATTCCACATTTGACCGTTTGACTTTCTGTGTCGTGCCCCGCGCACATTGCCGTCATTTTATTGTCTGTCATTTTTAGAAATGCTTAAAACGCGCTGCAAAATAAACAACCGTTTTAGAAATATAACTTTCCATTCAAACTCAATGACCACTAAATTACGTGTCATTTTTTGTTATACAAACATTTCGTGTACTTTGTTCAATTCGTTCATCCCAAGCTAAAGAGAAAAAAAATCAACGATTCATTCAGATAGAATGAAATACAGAATATACGACAGTGTTGTAACAATACATACAGTAATTAATTGACATTCCAAGCTAATGAAGTAAAAAGTTGATGATTCTTCCAAAATCGAACGATAATTTGCCGCGATAAACACTTCCGAATTTTAACTGAATCACATAACTTGATTGATTGATTAAACGAAAAAAAAAAAATTTGCGCGAATGAAATTCGCCTTGTACATTCATTTCACTTACCCTTGTTTCCATTTGCGGTTCGATTTGCATTTCAAAGCAAACGCCCGTCCTAAAATGGTGTCGGAATATTACACGTTTTGTTGTTGCTGTTGTTGTTGCTGTATGTTTCAGTCGGCTTATTTTGCACGTCGCGTCAAATTTAATTTACAATACATTTTCTCTGGGCAGCTTTCAATTCTCTCACTCGCTTACTCGCTCTTTCATTTTCCTTCCCGCTCGCTGACTCGGTCAGCCGCTGTGCTTTTCACTCACTCGCTCGTTCACTCTCACATCAATGAAATGCGTCAAGTCACCGTGCTGCATGTGGTGCTGTTGTTGTTAGGTCAGGTTCATTGACTTTCCACATAGAATTATGGCGTCCATTTATGTAAAACCGCATTGTTCTATCGCATTCATGATTGCTTGCCAACGTATTTTAAGTATGGTTTACGTAGTTTCGTGAAATTGTTTTTACTATTCATTCAATTCCAGCCCAAAATCTGGGAAAACAATCATACATTTGACGAATATATTAAGAACGAATTGTGTATACGTTCAAAGAAGAAACTGTTGTATGATTCTTTGGAATTATTTTTTAAAGCATTCAATTTTCCATTTTTGTTCACTCTTGCACGTGTATTGTCCCGAGTTTTAGATGCATATTGAGCTTTAATTACCACGATGTCGATCAGTAAATGACATAATTATTCCTGCATTTCAATCAAATCATAGCTCCGTAATGAACGATAACATATTACAGGCTATAGGGAAATTATCATAATTATATTGGCAATTAGAAAGAAACAATAATCATTGCACAGAATCGTTAATAATCCTTTAAATGATTATTGCCTGTGTATGCTTTGCTTTAAAGATAATGGTGTCTCTCTGTGTCTAATTTCGATTTTCAGGAAACAAAGTGATTTTACGAGGTGTTAGCGGTAAATTCAAGTCAAATCAATTAACGGCTATCCTCGGACCTAGTGGAGCTGGAAAATCCACACTTTTGAACGTATTAGCCGGATACAAGTAAGCGCCTCAAATTTGATTTACGATCCATTTTGGCGTTTGAACATAAAACATTTTCATTTCCAATTCATTACTAAACGCACATTCAATTTGCCAATAATTCACAGAGTCACCGATGCAACTGGTTCAGTTTTGGTAAACGGTCGACCGCGCGATATGCGAGTGTTCCGGAAAATGTCACGATATATCATGCAGCAAGATCTATTCCAACCAATGCTTACCATACGGGAAGCCATGAAAGTTGCCGCTGATTTAAAGCTCGGACACGATTTGACGAACGTCGAGAAATTCGAATTGGTGAGTCAAACACGCGAGTTCATTATTCATTAGTTAACACAGATTGAAGAATCGATACTCATCATGATTTATCTGATTGACGAATGAAGTGATTTTAACGGGATTCGACTTTGTCATACAGGAGAATTTTTTAATTATCCATTAAGTATCGAATGAATTTAAACGATGACGAGGAAAAAAATTATTCATTTGTTTTCTTTGTTTCTGAGAACACAAAATTTTTTTTCTCTCCAAGTAATCAAGATCAAAACACGTTTTGTATAACGGTTTCAAATTGGATATGACGTTCGAATAAACCCATCCGCGATTGATTGCAAGAAATGTGATACAAAATCAACTAAATCGTTTTAAACCATTTGAATTGATTGCATTTATGCGCCGTTAATCATAGACTCAATGAAAAATCTAAGTTGTTTATGAAGTTTGTATAATAAAACACTTAGAATAGTTGCCATTTTTCAATAATTTCGAAGAAAAAAAAAGACCAAAGTTCAACCGTTAACCGGCAGAAAAAAACTGCCAATTTAGTAATTAAGATTAATAGTTTTCGTAATTTCTGAGCTTTTAATTGAATCTTTTCATTTGTCCATAGATTGACGAGATTCTCGATTTGCTGAGATTAACTAAGGCGGCCGATACAATGGGCCATTTGTTGTCTGGCGGTGAATTAAAGCGATTGTCGATTGCTTTGGAGCTTGTTAATAATCCTCCGGTTATTTTCCTTGATGAGCCAACAACGTAGGTTTTTCACTTGTTTTACTTTTCGCCTAACCCATACGTGAGTTGCTAAAAATTTTGCTTTATTTCGACATAGCGGTTTGGATGATTTATCCTGTTCGCAGTGTGTGTCGCTATTGCGTCGAATTGCGCACGGCGGTCGAACGGTAATTTGTTCCGTACACACGCCATCGGCGAAAATCTTTGAAATGTTCGACCATGTTTATATTTTGGCCAATGGGCAATGCGTTTATCAAGGCCAAGGACCAAATTTAATTCCATATACACAAAGCATCGGCCTAAATTGCCCAGTAACTTATAATCCGGCTGATTTCAGTAAGTCAAAATTCGAACAATTGTGAAACTAGATTACTCATTCGTCTCTATTTGCAGTGATTGATGTTGCAAGCGGCGAATATGGCCACGAATATATAGACAAGATGATCTCTTCAGTTGATAATGGTAGATGTTTAAATTGGACACCGTACGATGCTATCGTCGATAATAATTACCGAAACGAAAAGATTTCCGGACAATATTTCGATGAACTGGAAGAAGAAATCAATCCGAAGCATTTGCGCGCGAGATCATCGAATTGGGAACAATTTTGTACACTGTACAAAAGACGCACCGTACAAATGTGGCGGGATTCGGTAAGAGTGTTTTTATTGTTATAAAGGGAAATTGTCCTTTTCCTAAGGTGATTAAGGTAGTAATTTTGATGTTCCATTTTCAGAGCTACATCAAACTTCGAATTTACATGATTTTCTTCCTCGGACTCATTGTCGGCGGCATTTATCAAGGTATGGTTCATTTATGTACTATTTATTTTATTCAACACCGCCAAGCACTGGCTGAATAATGATCGAACACGGTTTTCCATTAGAACTGAAATTTTTTTCGCATTACGTTTCACATTTGATATTAAATTCAAAATTTAACCGAAAATATGCCTTTTTTCGCTCATTTCAGGAATTGGTAACGACGCAACAAAGGCTCTCTTCAACTTTGGCTTTTGTTTCACTGTCACCATCGCGTTTATGTACATACCACTGATGCCCGTTCTGCTCCAGTTCCCAATGGAAGTACAACTGCTGAAGCGAGAACATTTTAATCGTTGGTTTCGAATAGGACCGTATTATTTGGCAATGACAGCGGCAAAGTTACCCCTGCAAATCTTTCTGGCATTTGCATACATCACAATGATTTATGTAATGTCTGACCAACCCCTGGAATACACTCGAATGGCAATGTTCTACTCAATTGCCGTGCTGATCGCTCTCACTTCTGAAAGTTTGGGCGTGTTGATTTCATCCAGATTGAGTCTGATTGTAAGTTTGGTCCATTTTTTCTAAAAAATTTCATGTAATCATTTTTTTGGCATTGAATGTTTGTTGTTGTCGTTATTTTTTTCGACCAATTTTTGTGTGTTCCTGAAATAAATTTGTTCATTGAACTAAAAAAAAACCGAGTGAAATGAATTCGAATCCACTTCTAAAATGCTTGACTTCCATATTTTCTTTTCCAGAACGGAATGTTCGTGGGTCCAATTTGCACTGTACCATTGATGCTGTTGGCTGTTTATGGAATTGGTTATGGTCGCGAAATCGAAATATCACCCTACATTCGAATTGCAATGTCATTCAGCTACCTACGATACGGTCTGGAAGGTTTGATCGATGCAATGTATAGCTACGATCGTGCAGATACAGTTTGTCCCGATGGTGAAGTCTACTGTATGTTTGCCAAGGCAAAATTCTTAAAAATGGTGCTTGGTTTCGAGGATGTAAACTTTTTGGTGTCAATTGTTGCTCTCATTATGTACTATCTATTATTCACAATCACTGCATTTTATATGATAAAAATTCGCATATCGACCACACACAAAAACAACATTGCTGTTCAGTATTTGGGACGATTTGTCAAAACACATCTTAATTTTGCCGCATACAAATACTAAAGGTGTGTTTTATGTTAAGACGTTATCATCATTTCAGGCAAATAGTTTTATATGGCGTGGATTCAAACAAAATGTGAAATAGATTTGTAAGCAAGACAATTTATTTAAATTTTAGATTTAAAAAAAACACTGTAGATTTAACCGATCGGACTGTTCTTTCTTCTTGTCAGAAGATTTTAAGATTTTATTTGTACAAGTTTTGTCAATATTTAAACAACAAAAAAAGGTTTGTGAACAATAAAGAGGAAATTCGTACATATAAACAAAAAAAAAATCAAATGAACATGGCTTACTTTTAGTTTTGATAGTTTTTTTTATCGCTTTTCTTTATTATTCTCCTACCAAATCCAAACGATTCAATTTTATTTATAAAATAAAGTAGTTCTTTTTAGCTTCAATGCCCATTCCAAGATCTCAGGATTAAAACGATCTGTGATTAAATGACGGATTAAACGATCTGTGATTAACTGAAAATCAACACACCAGTGCTATAGACTAGACTCTACCACCATCATACACCCACACGTACACTTATACTTACTTACATATAGGTAAAAATTCCAAGTTCTCCTTCGTAATTTCGCATGAAAAATTCTCAAATTTAATTTCGCACCGAAACATTCTCATTCACCAAAAAATTCCTTTGCAATCTCGTCGTCAATGAAAAAAAAAACCTGTCAAAATATCAACTGTTTCCAGCGCCCTCTATTCCATCATAGCAAAACTAATGTACCTTGCATACGCACATACTGCTAATAAGACTCTATTCATTATACGTTCGAAACATGTGCTGACCCGGTTGCAGTATATAAAACAGAAATCAGCTGTTCGCAGTGTTTATCGACACTAAGTGGCATGTATCGTTTGTTTCGCGTGCTTCGCCCATTTATGTAATGTACGTCATTGAGTGATATTTGAGTGGTTTCTTCCTATATATGCACGGTATACAAACGATAGTATTGATTTTTTTTCTCGTCACAATAGACATGCGTATTTGCGTGCAACGGATTCTTCGGGCAAAATGATGTCATATAAAATACTTCAAAAGCCAAATAACTTGCTATTAGCCGAATGTCATGTGCATATGAAATTATCGAATTTCAGTTGAGACTCAAATGGTGCCATCCAATAATGCGTATTTTATCGAATTTAAATGTATTGGATCAGTCTATCTCAATTTCGTTCGGTACGCATCATCATTCAAGCTGATTTAGTTAATGTATTTTCGTTGTACGAAGCGTGTGTATAACCGGCGGCAATTCATATTATTTACCCGGCATTTGTACATGTTACGGCTTCAGTTTGGTGCTCGTTCTCTTTTAATATGATAATTGCAAATGCGTTGATTGAATTAATTCGAATGATTTACAGTATACGGTGTTGCTACTGCTTGTAAACATCAAACGTTGCGTTCATATTTTGCATGGCTCTAATCCGCTTAATGTATTCTGAAACATCAATTAAATTGGACAACATTTCGAAAGACGAAGTAGAAGAAAAAAATTCAAGCACATAAATAAAAAATGAAAAAGAATCGAAAAAATTTTCCACTGTTCTTTATCGTTCGTTCATTGGATGTGATACAGACGCTGATCTAATACACTTTGTGTGGGTCGTCACAGTGAAATTGGCGAATATGTGTTTTTGTCGAAATTTCTGAGTTCACCTGGGTTATCGTCATGTATAAACATTTTTGGCGACGTAGCTTGTGTTGAGAGCGAATGAAAAGTGTCGCTTTTATCTCGTTAAAACGCATTCAAGGCTAAACACACATATTTAAGGCGTACATGTCAATCAAATTGGTTATTTACTGCAAATATCTGGCTACGAAATGAATAAGGTATTCAATATTGTTGTCACAGTGAAAGTTGAAGCTGACCGCTGCTGCTGCTATCAGCCAATTTATTTCAATTCCGTGTTTCAGATTAAATGAGTGTGTGTCTGGTTTATTAAGATTTATTTTCTACACGCTATGTCTTTAACTTTCGACGATTTTTTCAATGCATTTACATGCCGTTTCATTCACATGTCACTCGTACTGGAGCTGTCAATTTACTGCGTATGCGTAGTTTAAAAACAGCTAAAAAAAATCCAATAGTTGAAGGAGTCGTACACATACACGCATTTAGTTCACTGAACGGACGAAGTGAACTGGCTGTTTGGCAATGGGGTCGGATGTACCAAATGCGATGCTCGTGCATTGCCATTAAGTAAATTCTACTCGCAATGAACTCATCGTAGTGCGGGCTGGTTGAATTGCGCAAGTGTATGTTTTTATGTCGTATGCCCATTGATATTGAGCCATTTCCTCATTACTACGTACATTGTGCACTCCTTTATATGTGGTGCTAGTGTTATTATGATGATGACTGCATCATCGCGCGTTATATATGTGTGTTTTTCTTGCTGTCTCGTTCGCTTAGGCCTGAGTGCGAATTTGTAGCAGCAGCAGCAGTAGACGTAGTTCGTCGCCACTTTCTTGCCACTTCAGACCGAGTGAAAGCAGTTTTGGCGATGTAAGAACCGTGTTCGGACCCTATCTTTTTTATTTCGGCGTATTGAAACCGATTATTTTCTGTTTGTTTCATTATCTTTCATTCTTTGAGCTGTGACTAGTTTCTATTTTTGTCATCAATACTCATCATTTTTCTGCGTTCTAAAATTGAAATTAAGTGAAAGTTGTTTGAGTCCGTGTGTGTTAAGAATACAAATGAACCAAATATGGAAAAGTGACAGCAGTGTGTTTTCATTCTCGTGGAAATGGGCAACACAATAAATGGCTAGAAATGACGTGTTTTGAGTGAACTATATGAAGGTTAGACAACCACCATAATACACCCTGAGAGTGTGTTTGACATGGATACAAACGAATATTCGGCATGTGCTACACACGACGATAAAATTCAATGTTGAGTGGAAATCTATACAGAACTCTTCTTTGCGAGTGTGTATTACAATATATTTGTTTGTTGTCGTGAGGGATTGGGAGAGTGTGAGAGAGATTTCCAATGGAATTTCCCTGTCAACGCCGCACGAAACATCAAAACCAATGATGTCAATATTTAGATTCGACGAACAAACGAACGAAGAAGAAACACCATCAAAATGAGGAATATGGAAAAGAACATGGTAACAATAATTTTTGTGAATAAGACCAAATAGAGACATGTCTCAAAAGAAGAATGTTTATAAAAAGCCGTCTCGATTTAAAGCTCGTATTGCAAACTGCAGAGAGACAAATTAAACAGTCTCCGATTCAAGGGCGTGTGAAAATGTCAAATCGTTATGTAAATGCTGTGTTGATATTAAAAAGATCTCTTTTTTTCTCGATAAAAATAAAGATATTTTCGATACGAAGTTATGCAAATCTTAACAATGACCTTTCATTTTGAGGCCACTTCCGATGGTATCTTCGGTGCATTGGAGCATTGAAATGCGCTTTCAAATGAATCAATTACAAAATTGATGCTCATTTGTGTGTTGGTTGGGCTTTTAAAATCAAGTTTGAAAAACGTAATATATTTGATTCCAGAGCAAAGTTGCTCATTAGCTCATTCAGCGAGAAATTCAAGTGCATGCACAAAAACACACATCGACTCGAATCGGCGGCTCAGTCGAATGTAAATATTAGCAAGCGAAATGGAGTGCGCGCAAATGCGTTCAACGATAACACAAGCAAAAAATCGCCTGTGTTTAAGTTGGACTTTCAGTTCCGCTGTTACGCACATAATGTGCCTATGGCAATACGCGGTAATGCTTCATGATTCATACGCTTCATGAGTTGGGTTTTTCGATGAAATCAAGCTGAAATCACTTACAATATCTGCACCATGTACGCCGTTTTATTTCTCTTTTTTTTGTGCACAATTCTATCGTTCATATTCTGACTTCTTGGCTTGGCATATCGTTGCTTGTTTAACATGGCTATTTACATTATGTTTTAGTAATTACAGCAAACATACGCTACGTACTCAGACGTGCTGTTTTTTTCATTCTTTTTTTTCATTCTCTCCATATTTTTATCGACTTTGCATTGTTATCGGTACACCGAGCGAATGAAGCGTCTTGCGCGATTTGCTTCGCATAAATATTTGCGTATAAAGTTTGGAAAAAAGTTCGTTTGTTTTATGCAAACGTAATTTAGCATATAAATTTCAGTTAAGTTCATTAGCAGGAACGAACATATACACACACACACATAAATCGCTTCTCATTTCCAAATTTCCAATTGTGTGGCGGTGGCGGAGCAAAAGCGTTAGCAAATGTGCTGGTAAAAGCAATGCCAAGACACAAGTTGAGTCACAGCAACGATTGTTTACTTAATTGTTGCTGTTGTTACTTGATTTGAATTCCTCGTGTTGGCCCGGCGGCCCAGCCCAACATTTTCGTTATATAGATGTTTGTGTTACCATGCTCGAACATCGCGTCATACTTGCTTGATTACTGATTTGAATGATTTATATCGTGCAATTAAATCCTTGTCGCACATATGCTTCAAAAGTATCCAACACAAAAATCACAACAGAAGAACAAACAGAGAGTGTGGGTGAGTGAGTGAGAGGGTTCAACACATTTTCTGTTTGCTTATGCAAAAGCGAACAGCCGTCGAACAAATTCCCGACCATTTTTCCTCGCACAAATATTTTATGTTCAATGTTTTCTTTCTCTTGTTTATCATTTTTATGAATAGCAAATGTATCAACCCTCATTCATAAATGCCGCCCGACGCGCAAATATGGAACGAATTATATATTTATTTTTATTGCACACAAATGAAGCGGTTATGTACTGCAATTCATTCTAATGATGTACACGCAATCGGAATCGTTAAAGAGCAGTACGGTTCCCAAAGCAACTTCCAGGCTCAAACAAATTTTGTGCAAATTTTCAAGCGAACGCATGGATGTAGGAGCAAAAAAACGGTAATGAAAAGTATTATGATGCCAAAAGAAATACGCGTTCTGGTTTGCCTTTGATTAATCACGAAAATATTGGACATTGATCCTCCAGAATCGTTGGAATGCTTTGAGTTTGATCAAATGTTGCTGTTTGCTTTATTTAAACTGAAATTGAATTTCACCTAGATCAACAATACTAAATTCCCGCTTGGATTAACCGAAGAAACACTTCGCTTAGACTAACCAACGTACTTCTTTTGTTGGAATCTTTCTTGGATTATATCTTCTGTCATAACTATTTTAAATGTACTGTTTCGTTTTTGAAATCAACGAAAATTGGATTTATTTCCTTGGAAATATCTTAAGCAAAGGGCAAAAAACGCACCATGAGGCGTAAAAAACCATAATCTTGTAGTTGCGGGTGAAATCATCATAGTTACAAAGTCAAAGTCATTTGTTACTCAAAGTAGAAGATAATTGGGAAGACTAAACGTCAAAGCAATTTATTCTGTTTCAAATTTTCATTTTTTTTATTCTCTTTCATTTATGATTTGTTGTTCTCTTTTAATCAACTTGAAAGGAAAATCATTTCCCCACCTCAAGTATATGGCCATATACCAAAGCGAAATGTGTATTTGAACAGAAAGTTGGAAATGAAGGTTCTTTAATCATCGTTTCCGTGTGGTTCTTTGGTTCTTTTACAATATCAAAAATGACGTTTAATTACAATCCATAGCACAACAAGCGTACATAATTCCAATTTAATTTTTATGGCACATATCATGACTGTGGATTTGATTGTGCCATTGATTAGTTAGTAGGTCGCTCGCACGCATTATTCCACAATGGAAACAGAAAAAATCAAGTTTCTCTCTCTATGCATTGAATTGAATCATTTGAAGCCTTGCGTTAACTAAATCATCCATTAGGCCGTGATTTCATTTTGTCTGCTGTTATGGGCGAGAGAGAGAGAGAGAGAACGCGCATTTGCAACTGTTTGATGAGTTAAAATCGCGCTTTTGTCCGGATTTCATTTAAAAAATCTCGTTTTGTTGATGTTCATTTGAAATGGATAGCGTTTTCATTTTGAAGTGTATTGAAACCAACAACCACAGCAATTAATGCATACCGTTGTGATTGAGATCTGTCCAGCCATTTGGATGGAATGGAATGGAATACGAGAAGAAAAAACTATCCACTCTTCCTATGATAATTAAATTGTTTAGTCACGTTTGTGCCGTAGCATAAATAATAACAATGCAAAATCGATGATTATAAATAATTTGCTTGGTTTGTGATATTTGCTGCCGTATGGAGTGATTTACTCGGTGCTACAAATGGTTTTCAATAATCCACGATGAGGGAAATGATGATTATAATTTTCCAAAATGTACACACCGGCACGACACACACACATCGAAAAAAGCAGGCTGCAAAAATTCAACGACTTTAATTGCGGTTAATAAAGAGCTGCAGTTCTGCGGTTTGATATCGCAAATCACATCGAACACAATGGTGCTCCGCGCTGCACGTTCCATACCAAAATCCACTTGCTGTATATCACAATGAATCAGAGACGATTACTCCAAATTGGTGGGCTCAAGAGAGGGAACACATGCAGTTCGATTGTGATTCACTTGTCTATAATTTTGTACGTTTCACGTCTCTGTCGACTGCATGCTTTGTGCCCAATTGCAAACAAATACCATGAACGAATGCACACACTATGTACCGTTGTAATCATAGGTACCGCTATTTGATTGTGGCATTTAATAAACGTTTTAGGGTATATTTTTCGGATTCCTTATGAATTTTTTAGTACATGAACTTTTGTGGCTTACTCTCCCTCTCTCTCCTTCTGTTCCATCAAATTTCGTGAAGTGTATACACGCGCGCGCCTCAACGTCGCAATTAATATTTTGAGTGGCGCACGAGTGCGCCATTACACAATAAGTATTCAATACTTTCTACATTATTGTCGTCGTCGCCATCGTCACCACAACAATCAAATTGTTTGTAATGCAACCAATTGATATGCTATATAACACACACAGACTATCGATTGGTGGAGCCGTAATTAATCATGGCTTTTGGTACAACGGTTGATACCGTTCACTTCGATGAATCAACCCGCTCATTCAAACCAGACCACCACCATCATCATCCAAAAGTGAACTTTTTCTTTTCTTGTTTTATAGAAAACGAGCACTGAAATCTCTTTTGTCTCGAAAAAAAGGGCGGATTGAAATCAAATCAATATCGAATTTGCCCATGAATTCATTTGATTTCGCTTATGCCACTTTTGCAAATTGTTCACCAGCCAGTGAGAGGGAAAGGGGAAAACTCTTTCATCATCGCTCAATTGATTGATTACATTTGTGATGAAAAAAAAAAACTTTTCGGAAATTGATTTGCAGCTTTCTTTGTTCCATTGTGTCAGACACGAGTGACACTTCACATTTTTGTTGAATATGTCATCGCGAACAAAAGAATGACGACAACGAGAGCGACTTTTCAACACTTCAATAATTTCCATCAAAGAGACGCTGTCGAAAGAGAGCGTGTTCTGTTATTTGTCGATATGGCAATAGTCTGTTTCCTGATCAATTCACAAGGAATGCCTCAGCTTGTCAAAAGAATTGATATTGCTGAGCTTTGATGCAGTTGCGATTGAATTTTGTTCAATTTTCAGATTTGGCATCGTAAAAACGGGCATAACAACTGTGATTTATTCTAAACTTTTTTAGTGATCAATTTCATAGTTTAGCCTCGTGCCCCATCGTGTTCCAGCTATAACTCTTTAACTCGTGAGTTGATTTCTGGAATATTCCATGCTCATCGTGCACTTAATATAAAATCCTCGGTCATGACGATATCATAAACCATACGATATTACATTTTGTGCAAAATGGCCTATTGACCGGCCAAAAGAATTGTTGTGTTGATTATCTGACTAAACAAAAAAAGGCCATTCAATCCGCTGGCATACAATATTACTCGTGTGTGCCGAATTCATGCTGATTCATTTCTAATTAAATTTGTTTCTCAATCAACAGTGTAGACAATCGATACTGTTTTCAATGATAAAAACTTTTTTTTATCCCTTTGAAAACGTTTTTTTTTCAGTTTTCAAAGTATTGTAATCCTCTATTTGAATGGATCATGCCGAAATGGCCACCCATAGAGCGTTGAGCTTCAAAGGGAATTGAATAAATAACAAGCGCAAAAAGTGGCAGTATTGTGATAAAATCATGCTTTCAACAGGTACAATGACAATATGCTCATTCAAAAATGGAAGGTACTCAAAATGCAAACCTTTTATTTCGATAGCGTACACAAATGCATGTAACATCGAAATGAAGTTCCTCTGTTCGAAATAGCAGGAAACAATCGCAATCAACAATAATGTCCGTCGTTTCTTTCTCGATTTGTATTGAAATTTACTCATGTACATAGCACATGGATAAAGAAATTTCCTTTCCAGTCGAAACATCAAACATGAATCGAGAAAAGTCCTTTACATAATCGTAAAAAATATGGGTATGTTTTCCAGGAATCACGCAAAAATGCCAGAAGTATGCTGAACAATTCAGCATAAGCCACAAGCGACAAATCTCAAAAATTTACTCAAGAGAGAGAAACGAATCGCTCTCTTTCCGGTCTTTGGTCGCAACAGCCGAACTGAGTGAAACCATAGTGAGCGTAGATGAAATTTCACTCACAACAATAGCGACAGACCGAGTGAAAGCTAACAGATGGAAGCCAACAACGAGTCACATGTGCGAGATTGAGCGAAAATATCGCACGCGTCGACACACTAAAATCTTCAGGCCGTGCACACTTGATACAACTTGTCGGCAGCTGATTGTGATTTTCATTCGTGTAGCGGCTACCAAATGAATCGGACGTATTACGCTTTTTCACCAGTTTCATAGTCGACGTGACGCGCATACGAAACGAAACCATTTCACCATCAAGCACATGGTCCGTTACACAAAATCGTTCAGTTTTTAAAAGCAGAGAAATTGAAACCATTTTGTTTTAAAACAAATTACAAACAAAACAAAGAGAAAAAGTATTTTAACTGAGCAAAAAAAATTCTTGAGATTCGTGTGATTAAGTCGATTATAGTGTATCAGTTGATTATTTGACGAATGCTTATTTCGCTGATCAGAACGCCGAACCAACGGTCCAACGATATCGAATCAGTCACAGGCAATAAATGAGCATTAAGTGCTTGAGTTTTGCGAGTTGTTGTGTTTATGCTTCGGGAAAAAAGTTTAGGGCTTGAAGTTTGTAATAAAAGGGCGCAGAATAAAAAAAACGCACTCAACGAATCGCAAAGTAGATTGATTGATTTAGTTCGTCATCGAGCTGCATACAAGTTTTGCCGGGCAACAAGAATCATCACGCAATTTCTTCACGAGTGATTTTTTTTTTTCTTTCAACGTCATCTACGAGACAGCAACCAACCACTAGCCTCGAACAATTGGAATAAACCAATTTTGTGAGTTACGTTCGGTAGAAGTTTTTGCACTCCGTTGAGAGAGAGAGAGAGAGAGAGAGACTATAACATGAAGTGAATGTTTGGTGTTTTCATACGCTCATAACTCTCGCAACCATCGATCTTAGTGCAAAGTGGACATTCGTCTGCTGCTGGTCGTGTTTAGTTTTATTATTTGTTGTACCACACACTGTTCAACCAATATTAAGTAACATTGATAACAGAAACAAATAACAACAACAGTCGCACAAGAGCAAAAAAAACATCAGCAACAACAACATCGGCATCATAGAATACGAAATAGTGAAGACGAACCAAGCACAACAAAAGCAATACTAATAACAAATTTGTGCGAATTCAGGGCAAAACCGTTTTGTCAGTTCAAGTACCAGTTCACATCACATATATACGAGCTATGCAATCCGTTTTTGCAATAAAAACCAATTGAATCACACGAGAAAGAGCGGAAAAAACACACACATATTGATTGTTAGTGCATCGCAAGCAAACATAAACATTTTGTGTTTCCTCGGAATTTTACGTTTGTGGTCGGGTGGTTTATCGATTGGTTAATGACGAAAATCGTTCCACAAAATAAGTGTATGAAAGGAAAGAAAACGACCTGCGTCAACTATCCGCCTGAACATAACAAATCATAAAATATAAACAAGAACACACAACCATATAACAATAACAACTCATCGAATGGTATTATCGACGAAATAAAAGCGGAAAACTCTCGAAATACACAAACCAAAAAAAAAAACAAGTCAATTTTAGAAAAAAACCAGTTGATTCGATGGAACTGCTTCGTTCGAACAACGACGCGTTCTGATTTTTGTCAATTTATTTCGTGCTACAAACTTGTGACCACGAAAAGAACGAAAACACAACAGAACATAAATGATGTGAAGCATATGAAATGCAACTATCGATAATTGGAAATTGTTGAGAAATTTATTGGAAAAACTTTAACTGCTTCAAATGTGAGGTGAGTGAATTTTTCGTGAAAAGGAAGAAAAAGAGACGATTCTGTTGCAACTGTGTTGTTGACTGCGTTGAGATTGCATGAACTGTTCGTGGTAAATAACATTTAATTAAATGGAAAAGGAAATTGGATTGAAGACGATCGTCTCTCGAGACATTTGACATTATTTCATGGGCATTGAATGTGATTGTATCATTGACGAATCGACGTCACCTAACGCTCGTTTACATTAAATTATGTCACTTTGTTGTTACACACTAGCCAGTTATCTAGACTGGATCAATGCATACGAAATTAACACGTGGTCATACGATGAAATCAAGTCAAAAAGAAGCATATCTGAAAAAGTGAAAGGTGTGCTATAGCCACATTTGCTTGTACAAAAAGCACAACCAACAGAGTTGCCGACCGAACTTGAGTGCGGTGTGTAGAAGAATCAAGCATATCTTGATTCAGTATGTGACATTTTCGATAGTGGCTCTTAACAATAACCCCAGTTTCGACTCAAAATCGATTAATCTTCCTTTCGCAGTTAGTTCCGGTGCTGTGCTGCGGCTAATCCGAATCACATTCAAATTAATCCAAAAATGTTCGTTTATCTTTTCCGTTTGGCTTCACCAAATTGAAATACACACAATCTTCGGCTATATATTTACCACACAAGGGTATGTTTGGATTACGCTTTGGAAATTGTCTGTAGTTCGACAAATGTCAAGATAAAAACCGAAAAATTTATTCAACATTCGAACGCTGAACTCTCTGGCTCTCTTTTTCTGCAAATGCGCACCGCCGAATAATGCTGTATATCTAAAACGAATTACCACATCGATAACTGCTCTATCCGTGACACATTTCAACGTTCGATTCAGATTAAATCACACACCAAAGACGTGTGCAAAAAAACCATTTGACATTTTTGCTTTTTATTTTTCGTCGTCGTTTCAGTTGCCCACAAATTCTGTATCAAACAAGAGACGCAAATTTCAGTTCGAAACATGCTTTTCAACTTTTCTCATACAAAAATTGCTTTTTATTCCTCTAACAAAATAACAACATCACTTGAACAATATTTTTTATTTGGCATACAGGTCCAGCGACGCATTAAAACCGCGTATGGAGCATAAAAGAGCGGGTAACGGTTTGAACGGACAGTGAAAAAAGACGAGAAAAAAAGTATGCGGTAAAACTACGCACATTAAATACAAATATCGACAATTTTTTGTGTGTGTGTGTTCAGAAACAGATTAAACCCAATTGGCTGGGGCTTTGAAGTGAATAAAAAATTTTATGAATTTGAACTGAAAAGAAATTAACGCGCGATAACCGCACCAATTTAAATTGAGTTGAATGAAAAAAAAAAACCAACAACCTAGGTACTTGTTAATGTGTGTGCTGCATCGAAAGTGCTAAATATAACTAAAGTGAACGGAATTCGGAATCAACAAGCGAAAGTGCGTTTTAACCGGAGAAATAAGCATAAAATACTCATAAAGTGAAACGAAGCGCATACACAAAATTACGATTATTATTTTTGTTCGGTGCAAAAATCGATATCGTTTTATTTTTCACTCGCTTGTGCCGCGCACACGTCGAAAACCATTAAATAAATACGCTTTCAATTAATTGCAACAAAATTGAATTTCAGCTCGATCACCAAACTATCTCAATTTCACTCGACTTAAATCAATCACACTTGAGATCGGGGAAAAAAAAAACAAAATAAACGGAAATATTTAAAATAAAAACGAGACTTTATCTGAAACAAGAGAGAAAAATGAGAACTGTGTACTTTACCATGCCGATGAAAATGCGACGAAACCTAAAATTATTGTTGTTCCTGTCAATTAGCTGGATGTTTTTGATGTTCTACTACTTCCAATCAAGCAATCCAAAGGTAAGTCCCCATATTTGGTGCATTTTTTTTTCTCGGCGGTTGTTGTTGTCGCCGAAATACGGCAATTTATTGATAATGAACATGTTTTCGACAGCATGGTGCTATTTTCATGTAAAATATATATAATTTATGGATTTTGATGAAGTGTTCGTACAGCCGTCGTCATTTTTTCCTACCGTTGGTACCGCTGTGTACTGCGTCGGGGTTTATGTGCCACCAAACGGCAAAAACTTTTCATCTACATTGCGAAACAGACAAAAGATAAGATTACATCCCAATCTTATTGCAAATCTTTAAATTAAGTACAAAGACATTTATTTGTGAAAATTTTCGGCAAAAATCTCAAACCTGGGGTTTTGAGTGAAGCGCTCGCTAGCTTGCTCTCTCTTGCTCGCATCGCACTCTCATTTTTTACTCTCGCTTATCATTCCACACGCACACAAAAGCAAATTTTGCAGAAAGAAACTTTTCAACTTCCGAAACAATTACATTCTTGCATGCGACACAAGAGCAAACGCTATGGCAAAAGTAGCCCAGGCCTTTGATACATACCCATACTCATACTGGTTTGGATTCGATGGAAAATATTGACAACCGACGAGAAGCATGCACACATACACACAACATCAAGCATTTGAAAGTTTTCCACTTCAGAAAAGTTGTCTGAAGGGAAAAAATGAGCGACAACGAAACGGTGCATTGAAGAGAGACGAATTCACGAAAGCGCCACCACCACGCCAACGTTCATGGAAATCCGGCATTTATGTTCATTGCTCGTTCTTTGCACATTCACCAAAAACTGCTTTTGTATTTACTCTGTGCATTAAATGTTCGCCAATACTGTTTGTGTGTTGTTCTTTGTGTTTCTCGTTTGGTTTACGACTTCATTGAGTCTTTTGGTCTCCCCCGGCTCCTCGAAGAACTCATCTATCTCTCTTACTAAAAATCAAAAATGTGCTCGTTATTTTGCTCACGCAATCGAAACGATTGAGCATTTAGCTGTTTTTCTTTGGAATTTGCGAAAACATAAGATAATCTGCGAATAAAAAAGCCGTCCCAGGAGGTTTCACCATACACACATTTGTTCGATTTAATCCGTTAAATCGACCAATTTTTCTCCCCCATCGATTGAACTTACAGTCGATGGCTTTTGGGCTCAGCAGTGTCACTCTGTATGTATGTATGTGTGTGTGTGTGTTTGATTGTGCCTCAAAACATAACCGAGTACATGCCAAGTGAGTTATGTGAAACGTGAAGAGAACCCGGCGCCACTTTATCAATAACAATGTACGTGAACATTGCATGGCAAGAATAGTTAACGGAGCAAATGTCGAATGCGCACAGCGGAATGGTCATTGCAAGCAATTTAAATTCATGTGCGTGAACGCTTTTTGAACTGTCGGTTCAAATCGATGTGCTTGTTCGGCTGTCAGCCGCGTTTTTCCTTTCGATCCTTTTTTCGTTTCTTTTTTTTATTAATTTTCAATGGTTGAGGTGGCCTCTTTTGATAGACATGCAGAATTTTACGGTCAAAGCGGTCGCGTAATGGATAGGATTTTCAAATGAATGGCGATTGGTGTTTCATGGAATGTAATCACGTGATATCGTCTCGTAAATTTTTCAAACCAAATGACTTGGCCTTACTGTGCGCATATCCATCGTCGCGTGTTGGCCTATTTATAAGTGATGGGTTTTTTTTTTCGTGGCGACCCACCAACAGACAACATGTGCCCCAATTGTTAAAGCCCAAATAAATGCGTTTATTCTCACAAAGAATTGAAAAACCGACGGATATTACAATTTAAATTATTATTTGTCATAGCAACTGAGCTCATGTAGCACACCCGTTTATGCAGCACGCCCATAAACACACTGCCAAATATATGCATTTTTGAGCCGTTGAAAGAAGGTTACGTCGTTTTCCGTTTTCCGTTTACCGTTTCAAATTTTGTTTATCTAACCGCACAGTGGCAACGCATTCATGAACTGTAATCATGACAATAGCAATAATCATAGTAATTTGCAAACAGAAATTCGAATATATCTTTTTTGTTCGGTGTGTCTACGTCCATACTCTATGGTGTATGGCACATGTGCATACTGGAATCCCAAAAGTAAATACCTAGGGCTTAAATCAGCTGCAATCGAGTTTCCCACACCGTCGATCGTCGTGTCGCTGAAACACAATGTCGATGTCTTCATGTTTGACATGTTGATATATGAAAATAATAAATGACAAGCAAATGATGCCGTTATATTAAACCCATAAAAACACCGACCATAAAATCGAGTATATGTGTGTTTATTATTTTTCACCGCATGCAAAAACATGTGTGAAAACCGCACATTATTTGAAACCCTGTCACTGCATTCTCCGTACATGTGTGTGTGTGTGTGTGTGCCTTCACCCAATTTTTATACGTGCTTTGCCTTCGGTTGCATTTGAATGAGTTTATTTTATACAATGGTTCTCTTCCTTTGTTTCGAAGCTCGTGAATCTACCCTATCGTTTTTTTTAAATATCTGAGTATCTTTAAGGCAAAAATTGCGAAATGGTTTTCTACCTTGCCTTTTTGCATCAAAGTTGTCGGGCTATGTGCATTTTGAATTCCATCCCTTTTGCATTAAAACTTGATGAATGAAGATGGAAGCGACCGACTAACGAAAAAAAAACTTGTGTAAAGTTTTTGAGCCAGAAGCAATTTCTCAAATGCCATTCATCAATTAACGCCTGAAGTGAGCATGGCAACTTTCAAGGTCTACCCGCTCAACGAAAACTTTTACTTTTTTTCGTAGTCGGCCACATCTTTATCGATCTATTTTATCGAGTGAATAAATTTCCGAAATGTCACCATGTCTATTTTGGTCGATTATACGATCTTTGCGGAAAGTGAACGAAAGAAAAAGAGACCACGCCGTTCAAGAATAATTTTGAGTGAAGAAAGAAAAAAAAGTCGCATAAATCATCCGACCGCAATGAGTGACGAATTCAACGCTTTAATTAATTAGTCTGTTGTTTTTGAACAAGCGAAGCCACACGACAATGTCCCGTTTAAAGCAGTTGAAACCTTTCTATGGGTTCCGTGCACAGAATATTCCACACTTTTGTCAATACATATAGTGAAACAAGCAAGTCATACCAATGCTTTCGGGGCAAAAAGCAACTGGAAAATACACCGTGAGGGGAAGTTGAAATCGTCGTTTGTTTGCGTTGCGTTCTTACATAAGTGTGACCAATCCATTGAATATTAACCAATTTCGAAGCAAACGTATACGAATGGATTCCAATCGATTGCACCGATGAAGTGAACGCATGATTGATTTTATGTGGGGATGGCGGTGGACTTCGATTTCGTTTGATAAATTCGATTAAATCTGCTCGATGAACACTGCTCGGTGATGTCTAACAAAATAAGAGAGAAAAAGCCATGAGAAAATGCACACGATTTTTTCTTTATTCGAGTTCAGTTACTTGGCATCAAAATCAATCACCATTACTGTGAAAATGATTGAGATTTTTTTTTTCAGCGATTCAATAGTGAATGAACCAATAAAGAAAAAATGTGAATCAACGAAGAAAAGTGTGAGTTTTTCCCAAATTGCTAATACAATTTGCTCTGTTTGTGAAATTCTTCGATATCACGAATATTCCATTCAACCCCATTTGATGGCAAATATTTTACTTTTTGAATAGCAGCTTTCACTCTCTGCTTTTTCCCTTCATCATCTTCTCGAGTTGCAAAGAATGCACACTGTATCCATTGCAGACTGTAAAAAGATGGGACTGTTTGTGGAGGTGAATAAAATCGACCGTGCGAAAATGAATAAAAAATTTTGCACTTCCATTCCAGCATATGTATGTGTGTGTGTATGGTATTGAGTTTCTTTTTCGAGAGTCAAAGAAGAAACAAAATTTGCCGAAGAAGAAACTGTTCTCTTGGTTGGATTTTAACGAGCTTTTTTACATTCGAGCTATGTGACGTGCACACAGTGGCTCTTGTGTTACATTCCTACATTTTAAATTGAACGTCAGTCATGTGAAATGGATGAATGAATAGTTTGGTTGAACGTGGTTTCTGTCATTATTTGCCTCTATGTGCATTTTTCGTGGTGTTATTTTTCACTCGCCGGGCTCCCTTTCTCTGTTGCTGCAGCAGCAGCGAGCGATTCGTCTTCGGTGTACATTGCACACACGATTGAAATGGGAAAACTTTTTTCGATCCCTTTTCCATTCTTGGCCCGCGGTGGAAGAGTAAAGGCAAACCGAAAAGAAACGTTCAATTCATGAACTCATTTGCGTTGAAAAATCCTTAAAATGCATGCACACGCTCGTTTATCTTTCAAAGTGCACGCTGAAAATGCACGAAAACCGATTTATTTTCACCAACTTGAGAATGTTTTTACGAGTCTCATATTTTGCACTATCATTCATACTTTCTAGTACAAAATCATATGCGAAATCACTTTCCACAGCTCACTCCATTCTAATGATGATCTGACAGCTCCCATTCGCCGATTCTCAAATTATATTTTCTTCGCTGATTTCACTCTCACTCTGTTTCACATTCGGTGAAAAGACCAATCTCTCCCGACGAGAAATTTGCGGAATATCGCATTGCGACTATTCTACGTATAGTCGCAATACGAAAAAGTCCGTCGAACGCAGCCAACTTCACGTTGGTTGTACGAAGTTTCAAGTCGAAATGTCACACTCGATCCAGTTACAACTTCACATTTATCGCAGCGCGAATAGTCGCAGGGTATTCAGCGATAACATTTTGCGGCAACTTTTATTGTGGATACCTATTCGCATTGCGAGTATCCGCACTCAAAAACGGATATGCGACGGATAGTCGACGTACACCTATTTTACCGCAAATTTCTCGTCGGGTCTCTACCATTGCGTCGATTCAATTTCATTCGTTCGAATTCTTTCGTTCGTTCTGAACCCATTCGCTCGCTTTCGTTTGTTCTTTTTGTCGATCGATCGCAATTTTTTT